CAGGTAGTGATGTGAAATAGATTTAACCATACGAACAGGGGGAGTTGCCCCCCTAGTGACCTTGGTGAAATCTGCAGTGGGTCATATGAAATAGATTTAACCATACGAGCTGGGAGATTTGCCCACCTAGTGACCTTGGTGAAATATGCAGTTGGCCATATGAAATAGATTAAACCATACGAGCTGGGTGATTTGTCCATCTAGTGACCTTGGTGAAATATGCAGTTGGCCATATGAAATAGATTAAACCATACGACCATGGGAGATCTGCAGGTAGCGACGAGAAATGGTTCTAATCATACGGACAGGGGGATTTGTCCACCTAGTGACCTTGGTGAAATCTGCAGGTGACCATGTGAAATATATTTAACCATACGAGCAAGGAGATTTGTCCACCTAGGTGACCATGTGAAAAAAATCTAACCATACGAGCAGGGGAGTTTGTCCAATACTTCCCTATTATTACCAAATACTACCTCGTACTACACCATTATTGTGAAAACCCGAAGGAATTACGATAATTTGCCACAAATCTGCAATAAAGGTGCGGAATATGCGATGTGTCACTGTCTCGTAATTCATATTTTTGTGACACTGGATTTACTCATTATCGAACAGCACCAATCCTAAAATAACAGTAACTCCCGAAACCCCGTTTAGCTCGCCACGCTAACAGCCACCGCCCTCCCCCAATATGAATTTCCGACTGGCCTACACGATAGTTATGGAACTTTTCGGACACATATCCTTTGTTACGTCACACAGTATCCAATCAGGTCTACGTGATGTCTATCCCCCGGTCTTTAAGCCGAGGGGGGGGGGGGTGCGCTCTGTATCATAAGGCCTGTCATTGACTCAACTGGTGTGGTTTCGAATCCCCGGTTGTACGTGACAAGGAGAAGGGTCGCCTGTCCAACCTTGTGGGTTTTCTCCGGGTCCCCCGGTTGTCTTCCCACTGTTAAAGTCCCCTACGCGCAAGTGTGTAATTGAAATTAAATTGAACCATATGTTAGTCCGGAAATGACCTAGTTTGTGTCGAGTGGACGTTACATCCCATTTCTCTCTCTCTCGCTCTCTCTCTCTCTCTAAAGGAATGTCTCTCTAGGAACACTGAATGTTGTCTAAAGCAATCCTAATCGCGCTTTTTAATTTATATAAAATGTTTAGTTACGTCGTTGTTAAAGAGAACCATTACTGTATTTGGATAAGTGTTTCAATGATCGGGCAGCCAGTTACGTCAACCTTAATATTTGATACAATTGAGCTAATCTGTACTATACCAGTTGGCCGGAGAATCTGACTTGATGATTGTCCACGAACGTAATAGAATGTCATGTTTAGCGAAACGTGACAACAGTAACCAACTTTCAGAAATAGTGGCAGGAACTGTGTCAGTGAGTCAGTCTAAGACAGTAGAACCTTGCAAGGTATCTAATTAGCCCAAATCTAACTGTTACCCATTTGTAGGTAAAGACAGAAAACCTTTCCGAGAACTTAAAGATACATTATGGGAGATTAGATAAAGAGCTGGTAGTTCTCACTATAATAGCTAAAAACTTGATAATATAAAGGGATTTTTACTGAAAATTTCAATCAAATTGATCCCCTCTGAACCGAGATATTAGCATCAACACTAAGCCCCACCTCTCTCTCTCTCTCTCTCTCTCTCTCTCTCTCCATAACGGTTCCGGCTGTTGTAATAAGGCTTCAATTAAAACTCACATCAAGGGGACTACTCACAAACACAATAGGGGGAGTATTCCCCAAACACTGTATTATTCTGTAATGTATCTCATCGTCGACTGTGCTAGTCTAAAGAAAACGGTTTAGAGCTAATGTCCGTTATAATGTAGGTTTAACAACCAAGCGCAAACCATTGATCACAAAATAACAAGCAGTCAAATGAACTCGGCGATAAATTGGAAATTGGAGATGAGGATAATATCTCAACAAAAGAATATTTAGACTCATAATTTAATAATAATAGCTTTTTTGTCATACTGTAGGAAATATACATCAGTCTACGAGTCTAAAGCCAGCAGCTAGTCAAAACATCAATACATTAACCGTCATTTTATGTAACATTAAGAACACCTACTTACGAAATAACCCGTTTCATCAGTTTCGCGATAAAATAAACACATTTAATATGTTTTTTTGGCCAACGCAAGGGTCGACCATAGAACCTCCTGTTGGAGGACTAGTGGCTTTCTTATATGAGGGGGATTGGGTGACCGAATGGTTAGCACGTGCGCGCCGTATCATAAGGTCTGTCATTGAGTCAATGGCGTGGTTTCGATTCCCTGATTGTACGTGACAAGGAGTAGAGTCGCCTGCCCAACCTCGTGGGTTTTCTCCGGGTCCTCCAGTTTCCTCCCACTGCTAAAGATCCCTAAGCGCAAGCGAATTATTGAAATAAAATCAAACCATTTGTTAGTCCCGAAATTACCTAGTTTGTGTCGAGTGGACGTTAAACCTCACTTCTCTCTATATCTCTTTCTTATATGCGTAGCGATGTTTTCAGATTAATGAAGAAAGAACCCACGCAATTTGAACAATTCTGTATCCAGGTTGCACGGCTCTTGTTGGGGGGCCGAATGGTCTACCGCGTGCGCTTTAGATCATAAGGTCTATCGGGTAGCTACGGTGGCTAAGTGGGTAAGACGCCGGCTCACTAGCCTGGGGGTCGCGTGTTCGATCCCTGCATTGGCCAAGAAAGTTCATCGGGATTTTCCGACGTGGTTTCCTCTTGTCAGTGGTGCAGGACGGAGGGCCTGCCAGGGGCAGCTGTCTAGTCGTTCGGATGGGACGATAAACCGAGGTCCCGTGTATACATTGACGTGAACGTAAAAGATCCCTTGGCAGTTGGAATTAGACATAAGAGTAGGCCTTAGTTCTGCTGCCCGGGGCAAAATTTCCCTCATAGCACACTGTATGGCGTATGCCAGTCTTCATTAGCCCAGTCGGGGCAGAACAGTAGGACGTTAAACCCCATTTCATTTCTATATAGATGGAATAACGTTACATGAATTACGTTTGGACTTACCATTAGGACTATACATTGATACGATGACGTGTCAACATACCATGAACACGTGTAATTTAGGTCTATACATAGTTCTAGAAGGTTGAATTAGGAATGTCACCACCATTTTAACTCTGATGGTAGTTTTCGGGTAATTTAAAAGCACGTTTGGCTGCAATCGATGATTATGTATCGTATTGGTGTCTGAGTGTGATTTCCCGTGAATGATTATCTCAGAACAAATCCGATATTCTTTGGAAATAAATATTAGCCGAGGGCTGCAGAGAAGCGTGGGCGTAAATATAAAAAGAACACGAGATTAATTCGGTCGTCTCTGAAGGCCATGAAGGTCATATTCACTTCTTTTTATATTTTGACGGATTCTAAAAACTAAAATGAATTCAGATTCTAATTGCCCAGTTTTATGAACATGAAAAACATGTGGTAAGGTGTTATAGTTACCGTTTTATCTCATTTAATACGAACTTCGTGGGTGTGTGGGTGTCCGAATGGTTTAACGAGTTCGTTTTGTATCATAAGGTCAGTCATTGAGTCTACTGATGTGGTTTCGATTCCCAGATTGTACGTTGGATGGACGAATGGTTAACGCGTACCCGCTGCATCGTAAGGTCTATCATTGCGTCAACTGGCGTGGTTTCGATTAACCGGTTGTGCGTGACAAGGATAAGGGTCGCTTGTCTCCAACCTCGTGGGTTTTTCTCCGGGTACTCGGTTTCCTCTCACTGCTAAAGACCCCTATGCGCAAGCGAATTGTTGAAATAAAATAGAACCATGTGTTAGACCCGAAATGACCTGGTTTGTGTAGAGAGCGCGCTAACTTCTACTTGACACAAACTAGGTCATTTCGGGACTAATACATGGCTAAAATTTATTTCAATAATTCGCTTGCGCGTAGGGGTCTTTAGCAGTGGGAGGAAACGGGAGGACCCTTTTGAAAACCCACGAGGTAAGACAGGCGACCCTATGCCTTCCTACGTATAAGCGGGGAATCGAAATGGCAGACCTTATGATACAGCGCGCACGTGCTAACCATTTGACCAACCAACTCCAGCCTGATCAAATAGATCTAAACCCTCCGACAAGATAAAATGTAGCATTGATAGAAGGGAGACAACTACAATTTTAAACAAGCTGTTGCCAGGCATGATACGCCGACAGGTACGAAATGAAATGGGGTTTAACGTCCTACTGCTCTGCTTTTGGGGTGTGCGGTGTAATAGGGATATCTGTTAAAATCTATAGCTTCCACTGCGTTCAGAAGGTTTAAGACAAAAGTGTGTGTGTCTGTGTGCGTGTGTATACAAAAAAATGTTGACCTCTAGAACACCGCCCCTTAAAAAAAAAACAAAGATAAACTCCACATAACTAGCAATCTAATTAAAATATAGATCTATATTTCGTTTCGTTTTTTATACTTTCGATGGCCTACACTTCATGAAGATCTGACCGGTTGCAGTGGGAGTTCACGTTCTATTTTTGTCTACTTTTGCTTTGTTTTGATTTCTATTGCCGCTAATGTCTACCCACAATTCCGCGCAAAAAAGGTCAAACGCACGATTCGACAGACCATTTGATTGGCTGACCCCTCATTTCAAGCAGAACACGAGTTAAATAACAACGCTTCCAGATCCAAGTGTAGTAAACACAAGTAAAATCGAAATTTTGAACTATAAAAAATGAAACGAAATTGGATCTGTGTTTTAACCAGATTGCATATCTAGTTGTCTATCGCGATGTATCGAAGTAGCTGGGCATGCGTTGCCATGCTGGATATGTAATGAATATAAAGAGAACATATGCCTATCACGTTGTTCTCCGGTAACCTGTTTTAGCATTCACATCTATCAATTATTAATAGATAGAGATATCATATTCCGATAAACTTCATCAGTTTCTTTCTATTATTCATTCATTTAAAACATATTGTAGAGAACTACAAAAAAACAGGTAAACGTTGTTTGTGTTCAAAATCTATTTACTTATTATATAATATCACAATAAAGTAAATTTCGATCACCGTTCTGTGCGAGTTATTTTCTTGGTGGTGGACGGTCTCCTTCGCCGCCTTCCTGTCTTGGTGGCGGACGGTCCCCTTCACCACCTTCCTGTCTTGGTGGCGGACGGTCCCCTTCACCACCCTCCTGTCTTGGTGGTGGACGGTCCCCTTCACCACCTTCCTGTCTTGGGGGTTCATTTGAATCTGCAGCTTGGCGTCGATTTCTTTGTTGTGTACCTTCTTGTTCTTCCTGTCTTGGTGGTGGGCGGTCTCCTTCGCCGCCTTCCTGTCTTGGTGGCGGACGGTCCCCTTCACCACCTTCCTGTCTTGGTGGCGGACGGTCCCCTTCATTACCTTCCTGTCTTGGTGGCGGACGGTCCCCTTCACCGCCTTCCTGTCTTGGTGGCGGACGGTCCCCTTCTCCACCTTCCTGTCTTGGTGGTGGACGGTCTCCTTCGCCGCCTTCCTGTCTTGGTGGCGGACGGTCCCCTTCACCACCTTCCTGTCTTGGTGGCGGACGGTCCCCTTCACCACCCTCCTGTCTTGGTGGTGGACGGTCCCCTTCACCACCTTCCTGTCTTGGGGGTTCATTTGAATCTGCAGCTTGGCGTCGATTTCTTTGTTGTGTACCTTCTTGTTCTTCCTGTCTTGGTGGTGGGCGGTCTCCTTCGCCGCCTTCCTGTCTTGGTGGCGGACGGTCCCCTTCACCACCTTCCTGTCTTGGTGGCGGACGGTCCCCTTCTCCACCTTCCTGTCTTGGTGGTGGACGGTCTCCTTCGCCGCCTTCCTGTCTTGGTGGCGGACGGTCCCCTTCACCACCTTCCTGTCTTGGTGGTGGACGGTCCCCTTCATTACCTTCCTGTCTTGGTGGCGGACGGTCCCCTTCACCACCTTCCTGTCTTGGTGGCGGACGGTCCCCTTCTCCACCTTCCTGTCTTGGTGGTGGACGGTCTCCTTCGCCGCCTTCCTGTCTTGGTGGCGGACGGTCCCCTTCACCACCTTCCTGTCTTGGTGGCGGACGGTCCCCTTCACCACCCTCCTGTCTTGGTGGTGGACGGTCCCCTTCACCACCTTCCTGTCTTGGGGGTTCATTTGAATCTGCAGCTTGGCGTCGATTTCTTTGTTGTGTACCTTCTTGTTCTTCCTGTCTTGGTGGTGGGCGGTCTCCTTCGCCGCCTTCCTGTCTTGGTGGCGGACGGTCCCCTTCACCACCTTCCTGTCTTGGTGGCGGACGGTCCCCTTCATTACCTTCCTGTCTTGGTGGCGGACGGTCCCCTTCACCGCCTTCCTGTCTTGGTGGCGGACGGTCCCCTTCTCCACCTTCCTGTCTTGGTGGTGGACGGTCTCCTTCGCCGCCTTCCTGTCTTGGTGGCGGACGGTCCCCTTCACCACCTTCCTGTCTTGGTGGCGGACGGTCCCCTTCATTACCTTCCTGTCTTGGTGGCGGACGGTCTCCTTCATCACCTTCCTGTCTTGGTGGTGGCCGGTCCCCTTCACCACCTTCCTGTCTTGGTGGCGGACGGTCCCCTTCACCACCTTCCCTATCTTCGTCTCGGTAAGTAGGCCGGGCATGAGCCACGGCTAGTACAACTAGCAAACATACTACAACTAACTTCATGTTGTTGGATTAATAAGTTGATGCTAAAACGACTAGCCGCAACTCTTTTATACTTTTGTTACGCCTTCTCAGCCAGACGGTAGGAACTTAATCATGAAAATTATCATGGTCTAAATGTAGTGAAGTCACGTATATTTACGTTAGCTCGTATTAAATGTCATCATATAATATTCTGTAAATTTCAATAAAAACATTTTTAGAGCCATTTCTACAGAAAAGCTTGTTTTATTTGTCTCAAGTGTATTCAAAAAAACATTTTAGTTATACATATCGCTGAAAGATAAATTTATTTGTTGAGAAAGATACAGGTGTTATAAACAATATGGAGAAAAACTGTCAGGTGTTGTTTTAAAGGTCCTCTCCCACTGCTAAACACCCATACGCGCAAGCGAATTATTGAAATAAAAAAGAACCGTGTGTTAGTCCCGAAATGTCCTAGTTTGTGTCGAGGGGACTTTAAACCCCATATCTCTCTCTCTCTCTCTCTCTCTCTCTCTCTCTCTTCTCTCTCTCTCTGGACTAGACAAGAAAGGCAGAAACTGAAGCTTAGTAGAAATGTGATTCTGTTCAGCTCTCTCTATCTCTCTCTCTCTCTCTCTCTCTCTCTTGTTTTAAAGGGCCAATCTCAGTTATATTTTGGAGAATAAAACGCTTTAATTTTGTGTGAAAAGCCCTTAAAAAACCTCTACCGTAGGGCCGAACAACTAACTCAATATACATGGAGACCGGTGTTCCATGCTGGATAAAACCAGACTTTTATTTTATAGAAATAACGGGTAGGTGACATTCGCCAATATAAAAAAAACAAAACGCAGTTCTGATGTGAATTCGCTGCTGAGGCATCTTATTTTATGGTATCTTTAGTTCGTTTTAGAAAACTTATTTAATCAAATGCGTTTTAGCGACATTCTGTAGATATGCATCCATTAAATATTATCCGCCAATATCGAAAAACGATTAGCTCTTTATTGGATATTCACCAATATCGAAAAACGGAAAACAAAAATCGAGCTTACTTCACACTGCAGTAAAAAAAATTCTCAATTTGACAAATTTTCACTTCAAACATTTTTCACTACATGTCTTATGTCGCCTATGGGTTATCGCTTCTTTTTTTTCAATTTCTGTAAAATCCTCTCCTTAACGCGTTCTTATATAGGATTTAGCTATGGTAACCGGTTTGTGAACTTCGTCCGTATACACTGTGACAACGTTGTGCTGGTGGCGCAATTCTGTACCTACAATACCACGCCGGAACATATAATAAATTAACAGCAATTAGATGCGAAACCCAATAGATTTCTTACCGATTGCTTGTGCGTGTGTACGGGTGTGTGTGTGTGTGTGTGTGTGTGTGTGTGTGTGGGGGGTGATGGCGTTTGTATATGGTATCAAACGTGGACAATGGTTCAATCCCTTACCTTCCAAATGGGGACTTCCCTGCAAACGGGGACGTCCCCGAATGGAATCTGTGCGCCAACACTTATTCAGGGACGTAACGGTTGCCCTCTAGAAATACCAGTCCGTTGCGAGTTAGTCCCCGTTCGCCTGGATGGTACACACTTTTAGTTATGCAAAAATCCCCCAGGTGGCGCTAGTGAAAATTCGTCTTACACACCCCATGTTCGCACTGTCCACGTTTGTCTCTAGTTGCACGGATGACGTCACAAAAATTCGTCGCCATTTTGCATGTGTTATGATGTTAACCAGAAGACTCAAGAGAGCGAATAGGCCTAAAAGGGACTTATACGTGGATAAAATCCCGCCTAAAGGTAGGTTGGTATACATAGTACCTAAAAAATAGCCTACCGGTTCCACCACGGATCTGTAATTAGCTAGAAATGATTGGATATCTCCTTGTTCTTCACGCCATTTATAGCAACAGGTCGCGCGCCATGTCCAATGTACAGAAATGTATGTACAGATGTCATGGAGGTTATTCTACAGAAGTGCACCCACCCTCGATATTTTGCAAATATCCTTGCAATTATGTCATGAACAATGACTTCGAATGTGTATGAGGTGATAGAGGGTGGTGAAAAGTTTATTTCACAAAAGAATTGTGACTTTTGAAGCAGTTAGAAATGTCTGAAAACAGATTCAGAATGCATGCAAAAAGTTGTAATGTACATGCAATCAATTGTCGGATGCAGATTGAATCTAATGCCGGACAATGTAAACACCCCCAAAAGTCGGAAATGAAAGGGACCCAAATTGTTTCAACACCCTGGATGGAACCTCCACCATCTGTAGACATGACCCATGGGTTTATATCAAAGTAATTTTCAAAAGATAGCTAAAATCTGGGGTGGGTGCACTTCTGTAGAATAACCGTCATGGATGTAGGGCTATGCATTAGAGGTGGACATGACGTCCATTTGTTACAAATTAGGCCTATATCGGTTTTCTTTCATCAAAATAGCGCAGGGAATGATAAGTTTCAGTCAAGATCAAGATTACTGGTAGATGAAGGCCTACATAATGGGCGGTTATTTCCGCAAAAATGCGCCTGTGTCAAAAGTTGCGTTCACATCTAATTCGCTTTCAATTCGAATTCCGGAGACCGGCCCCCCGGTAATTCGAATTAGCTAATGCGAATTAAAATGCTGTGTTCATACTCGGGTTTGATTCGAATTGACGGTGACGTCATGACGCTTAATTCGCAATAAACTCCTTCACGTCAGATTCGACGTAGGTCAATTCGAATTGAATTCGAATCAGGAACCGAATTCGCTACGGCGGTTTGGCACCGCCCCAGACCGAATGCAGTGTGAACAGCTAATTCGAATTAAGGCTTTACTTCGGATTCAATTCGAATTAAGATGGTAGTGTGAACGCATCTAAATAGATGCTATGTACCTAATTTCAGATAGGCCTAGATAGATTAGGCCTACATCTCATATTGATGTTTAGACAGTCGTTCTCAGGTACGTTTGTTGTCTCTTCTCAAATAGATTAGGTCGCGAAATAGACGGATGGTTTCGCTTTTCCGCAACAAATGTTACTCCTTGTGCCAAGCGCTCACGTCGTGCATGACGTTATGTACAGTCGTAGTGAGCATTTTGATTTTAAAGGAATTACTGAAAGAATTTTTTTACTGTAGCCTATCAGAAAATCTAGAATATAGGCCTACAAATTGAACCATCTGAAAAATGATGAAGTTTGGTATAATTAAAACAAGTTGTAATAACCTTCTCGTAGCGCGTGCTACAGGTTAAAAACCAGCAGCCGTAAGCGCTGGGCACAAGGAGTAGTTGCTGATAGGTGGCGCACAAGGTGACGGTTGTGTGTTTGGGTTCGTTTGTATTTGGTGTCAAATGGGGACCAACACCCACCTGGTCCTGTCAATCTGGGGACTTCATGCCAAATGGGGACGTCCCCAATTGGCGAATGGCAATATCGGCACCCTTAAACTCATATCACCGTGTAAAGGTACGTCACCATTTGGCTTAATCATAGACCCTATATAGAATAGACATGCAACTGGCTTCAACATCAAAGATGCCGCCCGAGCACCCTGATCCTAGGCTGTCTCGGTCACGTGACCAACCCAAGCGCACTTTTTGATCGCCGGCCAGAATTCAGAATAGCGAACAGCAATCGACGATTCATAGGCCCTGACAAATACTAATTTTCCCCCTGAAAACCTTCATATGGATCGCGCTTATCAAAAAAACTAGAAAATATATTATGTTCAGAATCTACTAGTCCAAAGTTATTGAGTGTAAATAATTCAGTCTTCTTTACATTTGCTGATGTTTCCGAGGGGTGTTTTGCACCGTGAGTTTCCGCTCATAATAAAAGTGGGTTTTTTAGCCATGTTTGTCTCGCTCGCTGTCGCCAAACTACGCGAAAGTGTTTAAGTCTACAGACCAACAAAGTATCTTAAAGTATTCGTCTGATCATTTTCTATTGCAGGTTCAGTATGACTTTGCTAAATCTTTCGCGGTTTTGACTAAAATGATACCTTTTCCGTTCGTGCCCTAATTGAACGCAGAAAAAACACCAAATCACTTATTTCGAGCCTTGTTTGCATGTATACCTTTATCAAGCTTGTCTCACTTTCTGTGCATATCTTTTTATGACTTCAGGACGAGGTGTACGTACAAGAACCCCAATATTGCTTGGAGAAGAAATTTGCGAATATGTGGGGGAACTTATCTCCGGTGAAGAAGGAGAGAAGAGGGAGAAGGAGGTCGAAAGTGTTTTTCGGTTTTTTTTTCAACATTCGGGAAAGGAATGGTGGTAAGTAAAGAAGATTTTCTAGTATTAGCTCATCCTCTGATATTTGGGAATTTACTGTTTGATGTTGAATTTAAGGGTCTGCCATCAGGTGGAACAGACCCAAAACAGCTCATTTGAGTCAGACCCAGAATGAAGTAGTTTTGGTAGACAACCATTGTTAATCCTACTGAATTATAATTTTAAAGCATGATTATAGCAATTTTGATTCATAGATCCAAGCAAATGATTGGGGTCAACGTTTACATAAAATGTCAAATGTCATCTTCAGGAAAAGCCCATCAGTTCTGAAATATTCAACCTATCAAGCTTAGGGAGGTCTCAAACGTAAACTGGACACCTCTGGTTACCTTTCGATACCAAGGTTTTGTATTACCTATTGTTGGGGACGCGTCCATAAGCGGCAAATGCCTACAATATTTACATTTTTGGTTACTTCTGGCTGTCATTCTGGCAATCATCCGTTCACCCTTGCAAATTTGGACACAGGGGAGACGCCAACTGGAGACGATTTCAATGAGGTACATTCTCATGTGTCGGGTGAAACAACTGAGTAATTAGGGATTAAACATGAAAATCCAATGGTCCAGCAGTGTGACACAGTGCACCACATGACTGCGAATGGTGTGACGTCGTGCATGACATCGACATCAATAATGCCTGACACAGGGTATGACGTGATGTCTCGAACCTAGCGGAACAAGAGGAAAAAATTGTCCCAAAAAACTTCTTCAGTTTTGCCACTAGCGGGCATTCCTTATTACATGAATTACTGGTCGGATTTCCATGAAATAATCATGGCCAGGCACTCCCAGCAAGGACTCGTCAAGGTCACTGTAAGATGTCAAAAGGGGACACCTCTGCGTAGAAATCTAGCATAATGGGGACGCATCAACAAACAGGGACATTCATACCAGTTACACACTTTCCGTGTGTTATTTTCAAACTTAACTAAGAAAGTAGGATTTTATGTCTACTTACTACATCAAATAACTTTGCAGCATGGACGCCACCAAAGAACCTGAGAGAGATGAAGAAAGTTTTGGTCGCCTTGTCAACCACGGAAGAAAAGAGGAGCAGAATGCAAGAATGAAAGTGAAGGTGGATGGAAGTGGAACTCCACGCCTAATGTTATGTGCCATCAGAAACACCCAACCAGGGGAGGAAATATTGTATGATTACGGGCTAAAGGAGCTTCCTTGGGTATGTTTCACCTTTCCTCTTTCAATTTTGTTTTCCATTTACAGGGATTTCATTTGCTTTTTCAGGAGCCACTCTATACTTCGAAAAGTTTTAGCCAAATTGAAGATTTTCAGGCTAATTTTCCCCATCACACAAACAAGTTCTAATGCAATGTAATAGATACTCTAGTACTATAGGAAAAAATTAGCCAAATTTCCTGAAGGTTTACCCAACTTGGCATAACTTAAGTTTTGGCTACAATGGCTATAAATAGAAGTAAAGAGCTCCTGAGAGTCACTGACCCATGGTGAAAGTGTTACACTAACACCCAACAGTTCGCTAAAATCTGTATCCCAAGTGAAGTCAGTCTCCTTTGCATGTTCTGTGCCGAAGATTTAAAAAGATGGGGAATAAAAAAATTTTCTCCAGCTCAGAAAGCATTCGAGGCATGCAGATCATTGACACAGTGAATCGGGGCAGGCTGCACAACACTTTCTTAAGAATGGTTTCGGAAACATATCAGGTGCCTCCCCAGTATATGTGATACTCCAGTGCTGTCTTAATCCTCAACCCCCTCACCAGCATTCCAAAGCGACAAAGCCGCAAATCACCTGTCACGTGACATGACTCACTTGGGATACCTCAGAACTTGACCTCACCCACTTACCATTTTGCCACTTCAATGGTTTTTTTTGGTTATGTTTATTTTCAAATCTGTCAGAAATCAGGGCTTTATATACTTTTTGTCATGGTGGAGTACATTGGTATTGGTCAAATGTCGTGAATGCATGGAGGTTGGGAAGGGTGCTGCACACCTAAGATACTTAGGATTAAAATTTTCCCACTTGGTGTAGATAAGTTGTAATGAGAAGCATGCATTGGAAGCAAAAAAAACAAAATATTTTCCATAATTAATGTACAAGAACAATGGATTTGCACAAACTGTATAAAAACAAGGAAAACATGCACAGACTCCTAAATATTTTAGACCCGTGTGTATACAGGTTCTTTTCTAATCATTTTCCTAAGAATTAGAAATTTCTTTTCATTTCTTCATGGTTTATTATCGCAAAAAACATTGAAAGATAGGCATGTTTCTTCCAATCTGTTATAGGCAAGATCCCTTGAGAGAGTGCCATTGCCCTCAACAAAAAAAAGGATAAGTGGCATTAGGTAACCATGCTGACCACAAGATTGACTCATCCTCCATGACCCCAGTCACCCTGGAAAAGCATTGTTATTGATAGGGCCTATCAATCCTGTTGTTAACCACAGCCCAGTGTCAATAACTAATATGACCTTTACTTTTGTTGTCTGGGGACAACATGGACAATGGAGAGTCATTGAAGGAATCTTGCCACCAACAGGTTGAAAGCAAAATGCCAATCTTCCAATGATTTTTAAGCAACAATTAACCATGAAGAAGTTAATAGAATTTTCTGGTTCCAAGGACAATGATTAGAAACAAACCTCTGTGTGTGTGCGGGGGGGGGGGGGGTGATGGTGTGTGTGAGAGAGAGAGGAGGGGGGAGGGGTCATAACGCTGAAGTGCCGGATTAAGACACAACATTAAATTAGATGCCGAATATAAAATATTTAATTTAGATATTAGTTATGGACTTTTAATTATTTATTTCAATTTATTTTTTCATACTGGTACCTTTTTTGCCGCCTTGAGCATGCGTATATGGATGGATTAATAAGCGCATTACCAATATACATTATTATTATTATTATTATTATAATGACGCGTATAAAATACCATAAAAAAAACTCTAATCAAGTGCTTGGCTATTGTTTGTGGTTTATTATTGTTTATATTTGGAGTTAAATATATATGGAGGCCCAGAGTTGCACCTATACCCACATTGTGCCGCACAATCTTGGGCGCCAATTTCAATCAGTAAAACGATGTCTGAAGAGGGTAGCCTATTTGCCATTGCAAAACTCACCTTTGAGGAGCTTGGCACTGTATTATGCGAAACAGAGTTTGCACTTAACTCAAGGCCATTATCCGTCGTCTCTACGACAGATGTCGAGGAATCGTTGACACCACCTCATCTACCTATCGGTCGCCGTCTACATAAACATTTCATCTATTTATTCTTTGTTTTCAGAAACCAAAATACCAGAATACCACACCGAAGGAATATCATCAGCACCACCAAATAACAGCTTAATCAACTTTGTATATAAATCTAACGTATTGTATGCATTTTCATAAAACTGGAAAATAAAACGAACTGAATTTTCATCATCCTAGGTCTGTGCTTATGTGGAGACTTAACCTCTCCCCCACATTCTTAAATCTAACCCTGGACCTAGCAACGATGCTTACCATAACCCGAGCAGAACAGTAGGACATTACACCCCATTTCATTTCATTTCATTTACCCTAACCCGTAATCACGTGCCCTAACCTTATTTACATCTCAGCGACCTTGACAAAAATTGAGCCTAAAGAAATAGATTTAGCCTAAACCTCCCTACCTGCAGAGAAGTGAAAAACCCTTGCTACCATTTAATTTTCGTACGTTAGCAACGTACGACCAGACCTTTTTGATTCCGTAGCCATTAAAGGGGACGATCTATCTTCAACTCAGGATTACGTAACCAGGAGAATGAAACATTTAAAACATCTTCTTAATCATTTTTGGAATAGATGGAAATCAGAATATCTCTTGGAACTTAGATCTTCTCACCGTGGAAAGGGTGGGATCAACGAAACCGTGATATAGTCATTATTCCTCCTGAAGAACTACCTAGGAATCGGGGCAAACTAGGAAGAATAATCAATCTTGTAAAAGATTGTAATCAATCACCTGAAAGGGAAAACCCACTACTTTAAGGAGACCTTTGCAACTTTTGTATCCAATGAAGATTAATTGTCATAATTCTACTGCTAAGGTTGGAAATCAATCTGATGATGTTACTCTAGAATCGGGTCAGTATGAATCAGTAAGCTCTGGGGTTCCAGATACCTCGGACGCTCGTGCACGAAGTAACGCAGCAGTTCAATCCGACGAAAAGAAAAAGGAGAAAGGCTTGGCTCTCAAATCTTGTTTAGACGAAGGTGAATCCTTGAATAAAATGGTGGGTTAGGTTTAAAAATTTGGGGGGAGAGGTTAAGTCTCCACATAAGCACTGACCTAGGATGATTAATAATTAGTTCGTGATATTTCCTAGTTTTATTAAAATACATACAATACATTAGATTTATATAAAAAGGCGATTTCACTGTTTATTGGTGTTGGTGGCGCTGATGGTCTTCCTTGGGTGGTGCTTCTGGTATTCTGGTATTATTGTTTCTGAAGAAAATAGAAAATAAATTTGAGGCTCTCGGGAGAGAGCCACATTAGTGTGTTTCCTACAACGGATTGGATTTTCTAAAAAAAATCGTGTTTGTTTCACATCACCGGGTTACGGCTAGGGATTCTTATATCTAATTGATTTTAATTACTAACGGTTAGGCATAGGATTTGATATATGGTTTGTTTTGGGTCAGGGTGGAGACTGGTCTTATTTAATCTAATTTACTGTGCACTAGGATGTTTTTAGAATATGCAATTATAAGTTTCTGTGTGAATATTTTCGGGTGATTTTCTTGCAGATCAGTATAGTGTTTTCTGATGATTTTGGACGCACTTGCTGCTGTTGCGCTAAATGGAACTACAAAAGGAGCTATTGCGCTAGCCGTATGAATATTCAAACCTAGGGGGGCTGTTGTTTTCAATTTGTCAATCCAGAATTTTTCTCTTGTTAGCCTAAACGTTTTAATTTCTTCTGAAGTTTCAAAGTCGCTCTTGGTCTTTTCTATTGGCGTGACAATGAGATCTGAAATGTCATGATTTGGTTGGTTGAAATGAATTGAGACAGGTTTGTCTTTTTTGGTGACTATGTCAGACCGGTGACCGTTAATTCTTTCCCTAAGTGCATTTTGAGTCTCCCCTACGTATTGCTTGTCACATTTTCTGCATGAGATTAGATAAATTATGTTTGAACTACTGCATGAAAGTTGGTCTAATATTGGGAATTTTGTGCCAGATGTTTTGTTATGGAAATGGTCGGATATGTTTAAGATTTTGCATGTTTGACATCTTGGATGGCCACAAATTTTGGTTTTATGTGCTGATTGTATATTATTTGTTTCTTTGGCGGCAAGCTCAGCTAGAGTGTTGTTTTTTATACGTCGTAGATAGCGTTTGGAGTATCCCCTTTCCCTTAGTTTGCTAAATACCAATGTACATGCTGACTCAAAGTCGGTCTTCTGAGTACATATCCTATGAAAACGGAGAATCTGAGATTTTATGATGCCAGAGAATGTATGTTTTGGGTGAAAGGAGCTTTTGAACAATAATTGATGTGTGTCGGTTTCTTTGAAAAATACTTTAGTTTCCAATTGGCCTGTGATTTTGGTGTTGTTACTTTTAAAAACGGTAGTATCAAGGAAATCTATGCTGTTATGGCTTACATTTGCGGTTAATTTGACAGATGGATGATGATTGTTCAGAATGTTGAAAAACGTCCAAAATTCGTCTAGTGTGTAGGTCCAGACTATGAAAACGTCATCTAAAAACCGCCCATAGAAATCTGGTTTTAATGGACAGAGTGGCAGAACTTCCCTTTCCCACCCCGCCATGAAGAGATTTGCATAACTCGGGGCAAATCGTTTTCCCATCGCAGTTCCGGAAAACTGAAGGTATACTTGGTCGTTAAAAGCGAAGTCATTCCTCCTCAGACAAATGTTGAGTAGTTTGAGGATTTCTTCGTCCGGCCTGGATGCTTGCGGGTTCCTAAGAAATGCTTTCCTAACTGCTTCAATACCTGTGTTATTATCAATGTTCGTGTACATGCTTTGTACGTCGATGGATATTAAAACGGTGTGTTCGGGGACTCTTAACTGTTTGATTTTCTGAATGAAATCGTTAGTGTCTTTAAGGTAGGATGGGTGTTGGCATGCTAGGGGTAATAAGAAATGGTCTATATATTGTGATACGTTGTATGATTCGCTGCCACAGTCTGATATTATTGGGCGTCCCTTGGGTATTTTATTAGGTATAAACCATTCTGTTTCTGGATTTTTATGTATTTTTGGTAGTGTATAGAGATGTCTTTGTCGGCAGTCAGATTTAGCAGATAGATAATCATATTGTTTTGCTGTTATGTATTCCTTATCCTGCAATTCATATAAGATGTTGTTTATTAAATTTGCGGTGTCCTTAAAGATGGGTTGGTCTAATTTAGTGTAATGTATAGGATTACTTAATTGTTTTTCTGCCTCTGAGATATAGTCTGCACGATTCATATGACACAACACGAGCCTTTGTCGCTTTTCTTAATTATTATGTTTTTGTCCTTTTTAAGGGTGTTTAATGCCGTTTTAGTTGCTCGGTTGAGATTTGGTTTTTGTGACTGTGGTTGAATGGATGATATTTCTATATTCATTTCGTCGAAAGTTTTTAGGATGGCTGGTGATAATGACTTTTTAGGTGGTTTCCATGTGGATTTTGCTGTGAATAATTTTTTACCTCTGCCGGGTTTGTTCCTAAAAAAATAAGTCAACGAAAGTGTTCTTTGGAAGCGATCGGTTGCCTGGGTGATGGGGTCTATGGATGTTATTGTGGGGGTTGGGATGAATTTAAGGCCTTTATCAAGAATGTTCATTTCTAGGGGGTTGAGAAGTCTGTCGCTCAAATTGACAACTGTCTGTCCTAAAGACGGCTTCTCATTCCTTTTCCCTAATCCTAGTTTAAATTCCTCATCCAGCAGTTGATGATCTCTCTGGCCGTGTCTGGGCTCCAGTGGATTGCGTCGTTACCTTTCAGTTCTATTTTGCCCTTGAAGGTTGGTAATGTGGTGGCGTTTGGTGAAGGTGCAGTGGAGATCAGTTGGTTGTAGCTGGTGATGTTTTGGTAGGCGATCGGATTTTCTTGGCGGAGTCGGAAAGAAGTGGGGATCTGTGTGGCGAAGAACTTGGTTGTTGGGAAAGCTGCTCTGGTCACCTTGAGTAGATCTAGCATCTGCTCGTGTATCCTTGGTCCACTTTCCTCCCTGTTGTTGAGCCCGACGTGTATCACTAATTCCTCTGGTGCAGGACCCTTGTAGTTCTGGAGTATCTGTCTGATGTGGCTGATCTTGGCTCCAGAGTAGCTATGGATCTCCCAGTCCCCGACGAAGGATGCAATCCTAGCCAGGTTAGAGGATCCAATAACCAGGGTCTTTGCCATGACGGGTGGTAGGAACCATAAATCCTTCTCGTCTTTACCTTTGTAGCTGTGAGGTCTCTTTAGGGATAGGTTGATTGATCGCCTACATCTGGTGGACGATCTGGTGGCGATTCTAGGGTTAGGAATGATGGGCGATCTAGGGGACAGACAGTCGACAATCGCGTTTAGTGGCGATATAGATCCCGAGGAAGTAGGTGAGTCAGACACAGCCCGGGGCGAACTGGTTGATCTAGCTGCACGCTTCGAGGGAGTGTTAATGCAAGTGCCTTCTCCAGGGGATAATTTTCTCTTGTTGGGTGTGTATCGTTTTGGTGTGTCCCGGAGAAGGTTGTGCGTAATGTGCATGGGTGATGGGGGAGGGGGCGTGACAGTTTTAGAGACCGTGGATAGTAGGCGGTGGAACTCTGTCTTCACACTCTCCTGAAGTCGCTTGCCGTAGGACTTCTTGACCCATGCTAGGGCGTGGCTAGAGTACTCTTGTACAGCATCTTTGGAAAAGTGACGTGACTTCAAGTACTCCAGTTTCTCCGCTAGCATGGCTCGGTAGTGTGTCGACAGGGATGAGGCGACGTCCTTGGCCCATTTCAAGTATGGTAGTGGCTATGGTAGGCGTCTTCATGGCCGGCTTCACGAACTTATTCAGGTCTTGGATCTTCCAAGTGAAACTTCTGGTTGGTGTTCCATTCTCCGGACTCTCCATAATGGTCAAGTTGTGGAGGCATTGGAGGACCTGAAAGAAGGCTTTCACGACACCTGCATTTTCTGGGGGTGGTTGGCGCTGGTTTGGTTGTCGTTTTGGTTGGCGCTGGTTTGGTTGTCGACTTGGTTGGTTTGGTTGTCGACTTGGTTGGTGCTGATTTGGTTGTCGACTTGGTTGGTACTGGTAGCGGAATCCGGGTGGTGGTTGGTGGAATCCTGGTGGTGGTGGTTGGTGGAAGCCTGGTGGTGGTTGGAATCTGCTTCGTAGCTGTGGCCATTCGATTGGTAGTTGAGTTGGCGTGGGAAGGAGTGGGCGTCTGGTGCGGGGCCTATCCATGTTCCAGTAGTGGTGGGGTTGGGGGAAAAAACTGTTTGTGTGGACGTGCAAATGGGACAAGATAAGAAAGCTGTAAAGACGAGATACAGTAGAGATTGAAGAGAAGAGGGGGGGGGGGAATAAAATGTATCTATATAGAATGTTGTGCAGTATTTGTTTACTGTGGTATTTGTTCTAAGAAATGGAAAATGCGAGACAAAAAGTAAATTAGCGGAGAGACAAGGTTAGATATTCGACGTATGTGAGTAAATTGGTAGAAGAGCTCGTGCTCAAGCGTGTACTGATTTCACAATATGTACTGGTAACGTAACGGAATGAAACTAGAAATATAACACGTATGAAACAAAGGGAAATCGTTTGAACTTTGAGGTTTATTAATTACACAGTATAGTATATTGTGGAAGAGTTGATGTGAGGAATTAGCCAATG